TTGATTTTGAAAAAGTGTATTTATTTCATAAAAATTATGAATTTCGAAATTTGAACGGATAATGACCTAATTTTTGGTAAAAAATAGAGCCCAAATTATGATTAGTAAACCTAAGTAATTAGAGCCATATAAGGAGACGAAACCAGAAAGTAAACTCAATGCACTAAGAGTTATTTGGACTAATAAAATACGAAATTAAAAATTAAGAAAAGTCTAAATTAAATGAAAATTTTAAAAAATAAAATAAAATAAAAATGTAAAAATAGACAGGAACAGAAATAATTGAAGTTGTGAAATGATCAATTAAATAAAATTCATTAAAAAAATGGAATAAAAGGTAAGTAGATAAGAATTTTGGGTTGAGAGGGTAGGAGTGAATAGGATAAGAACCTTGAATACTTTCTCGTTTAGTCTGAATCGAGGAGATGACTCTGTGTGTGTGGCTGAAATTCAGCGGGTATGGTGAACCTGCACATGAATAGAGTGTGAAACCTAAGCTAGACGTGGATAGGTATATGTGAGTGTGAATCACTTAGTAAACGTACATGTTGTATCCACTGTAAGATTTGTGTGTGTGTGTGTGTTATACATACGATTGGAGGATCTATTTCGCCTTCTCTCGATGAAGACATAAACGACATTGTGCGATGAAACCTTAGAATGACCTTTCGAGTGTATATGTGATTTTTCATGTGTATGTGATTATGTTTCGAGATAATGAATGATATTCGAGTGTATCTATGTTCTTCCGAGACTAGGTGGATATACATTTGAGGATTGTATATGATATTCGAGAGGATTCAGAAATTCGATCAGAAACATGTGAAGTGGTGAAAATAATAAATGAATTTTGCATTTAAACATCACTATTGCATTTGTCTTATACTGTGTGTTTTGCATGAAATCTTATCTAAGTTTAGAGGACAGAAATGTTTATTGAGTTAGTGAAACTCGTTAAATTTCACCCTAATATTTTTCAGAGGAGAATGACGAGTCAGCACTGCTGCTACACGAGTAGAACTTGTAAAAATGGTTATTGTTTTTGTATATTTTGTGCATATTCGAGAAGTTTTATTTTGTTTTATTAGACTCTAAATTCTAACCTTATATTTTGTATATATAGTTACTATAGTATCATATGGGATGTTTGGTTGTATTATATTTTTTTATTTATACATGTATATATTTTGTGAGCCCACTGCATGAAAATAACATGAGCTAGAATTGCGTCTCACATCGAGCGTCGAGGCGTAATAGGTGGTATCAGAGCCCACATTCCTAGAATTGTCCCTTGTGCATGAGGTTTTAGAGTTTAAAAATGATATTTTTACAACTATTGGGGTGTTGAGAAGTAGGAAATGTTATTTTGAAATACTTTAATTCATTCTTTTTTGAATGAAGGGTTGTAAGATGAGATGTGGATAGACTTCATCAGAGCAACCTCCCGATTATATGTCCTTATAGGAGTATATTGACTGATTGTACCATATGGTAGATGAGTTTGTTAACTACCCTAGAAAATGGATACCTGGCTCTCCTCCAATACCAGCTCCATACAATCCATAACCAGTCATTATGGTAGAGAAGCTTGTTTACTGTGAGTATTTTATTAAGATACATGTATTCTCCGTCTGAAAAATTTTATTCAGCAGCAAATGTATACTTAGGTATTTAAAACGTACCATAGACCT